GAGGAATCACCGAAGAAGCCGTCTGCTGAACTGAACCGGCAGACGAACTTGTTTAGATGTTTGTTTGTGATTTTTTTCTCGCTCGATCCCCATGTATGAGGACGAGTGTAACGTTTGAGTGGTTTTATTAAACGCGGGGAAATACGACAACTCTCGTCTCTCGTGCATCTGTTCAACCGACAACTAGTGCTATGTTTTTATCTCTGGACAACATCTCAACTTTGCGTTACACATGCCCTGTTTCCACGTCCTGTCCTGGCTGTTTTTAAGTGATGAAAATGTCCTGGTTTTCAAAAAAACTGCTGGGAAATATCAGTTCTACAGCAAAATATAGATGGGCAAACAAGGTGGACGAGGAAGAAAAACAAGATAAAGAGGATAAAAACTAAAGATATAAATAGATTTTGTTAGTTCGTTTTTGTAAGTTTGTGTTAGCTATTTTTTGTTACATTTGGAGGCATTTCTTTTAGTTATTTATTATTTATATATTTATTTTTCTAATACAGAAGACATTATTTCTATCATTATTTCATTCGTTTTTTTATTTGTCATAATAAAACATTGAGACATGAATATGATCACCCTAGTATAGTATTCTATTATTATTTCTGTTTTACATTAAGCGCCATCTAATGTCAGGGAATGAATTTGGATGTTCACTCGGCTCATCGTCAGCGAAAAACGCTGATGAATAACGCGCACTGATATTCATCCCGGTGTGTACGGGCCTTAATACTTTCTTTATTTCTAACTAATCTTTATTTCTTTCTAAGTAATCGATCTTTCTTTATTTCTAAATAATCTATCTATCTTTCTTACTAATCCATCTTTCTTTGTAACTAATTTTTTCTTTATTTCTAACAAATCCATCTTTCTTTCTAACCAATCCATATTCTTTCTTACAAAACCATCTTTCTTTCTTTCATTCCAACTAATCTTTCTTTATTTCTGACTAATCTTTCTTTATTTTTAACTAATCTATCTTTCTAACTAATCTATCTATCTTTCTTTCTAACTAATACTTTCTTTCTTTATTTCTAACTAATATTTATTTCTTTCTTACTAATCCATCTTTCTTTCTTTCTTCTCTAAAGAATCAATCTTTCTTTCTAACTAATCTTTTATTTCTTTCTAACAAATCCATCTTTCTTTCCAACTAATCTTTCTTTCTTTCTAAATAATCTATTTTTATTTCTTTCTAACTAATCTATCTTTATTACTTTCTAACTAATCTTTGTTTCTAACTAATCTTTCTTTAATTCTAACTAATCTATCTATCTTTCTAACTAATCTATTTTTCTTTCTAACAAATTTATCTTTCTAACTGATCCATCTTTCTTTCTAACTAAACTTTCTTTCTAACCCATCTTTCTTTCTAACTAATCCTTTATTTATTTATTTATTTCTAACTAATCTTTCTTTCTAACAATCTATCTCTTTCTTTCTAACAAATCCATCTTTCTTTCTAACTAATCTTTCTTTATTTCTAACTAATCTTTCTTTTCTTCTTTATTTCTTTCTATCTAATCTATTGTTCTTTCTTTTAACTTATCTTTCTTTCAAACTAATCTTTCTTTCCTTCTAACTAATCTATGTTTCTTTCTATCTATCTACATGTTTATCTATCTTTCTAACTAATCGATATCTATCTTTCTTTCTAACCAATCCATCTTTCTTTCTTTCTAACAAATCCATCTTTCTTTCTAATGGATCCATTTTTCTTTCTAACAGATCCATCTTTCTTTCTAACTAATCTATCTTTTTTTTCAAACTAATCTTTCTTTCTAACTAAACCATCTTTCTTTCTTTCTTTCTTACTAATCTATATTTCTTTCATTCTTTCTAATAAATCCATTTTTCTTTCTTTCTAACAGATCCATCTTTCTTTCAAACTAATCTTTCTTTCTAACTAAACCATCTTTCTTTCTTTCTTACTAATCCATCTTTCTTTCTTTCCAACTAATCCATCTTTCTTTCTAACAAAACCATCTTTCTTTCTTACTAATCTTTCTTTCTAACTAATATTTTTCTAACTAATCTTTTTTTGTTTCTAACTAATCTATTTATATATATTTCTTTCTAACAATCCATCTTTCCTTCTTTCTAACAGATCCATCTTTCTTTCTAACAAATCGAGCTGTCTTTCTAACTAATCTATATTTCTTTCAAACTAATCTTTCTTTCTAACTAAACTATCTATCTTTCTTTCTTTCTAACTAATTTTTCTTTCTTTCTAACTAAACCTTCTTTCTTTCTTTCTAACAAATCCATATTTCTTTCTAACTAATCCATCTTTCTTTCTAACAAATCCATTTTTCTTTTTTTCCAACTAATCCATCTTTGTTTTTCTAGCAAAACCATCTGTCTTTCTTTCTTTCTAACTAAACATTTCTTTCTCTCTTTCTTTCTTTCTTACAAATCTATCTATCTTTCTTCATAATTAATCTATATTTCTTTCTAACAAATCTATCTTTCTTTCTAACAAATCCATCTTTCTTTCTAACTAATCTTTTTTCTTTCTTTTTTTCTTACGAATCTATCTATCTTTCTTTATAACTAATCTATCTTTCTAACAAATCCATCTTTCTTTCTTTCCAACTGATCCATCTTTCTTTATTTCTTTCTTTCTAACTAATCTTTCTTTCTTACAAATCTATCTTTCTTTCTTTCTAACTGATCCATCTTTCTTTCTTTCTAACTAATCTATCTATCTTTATTTCTAACTAATCTATCTATGTTTCTTTCTATTTATCTATCTTTATTATCTATCTTTCTTTCTAAATATTCTATCTTTCTTTCTTTCTCAATATGAATATATAATTTGCTGTTTTACTATACTAAATCCATGGAAATTATGGTGATTTGCAAATTGATGAGCCTTTTAACTGGATCATTCATGGCAGAGTGTTTCTCGTGTTTGTATGTATGACTAAAGGTCATTGTAACAAGGTTCAGGGAAGAAGGAGGCAGGAACCGGATGACAATAAAAAATAAAACTTTATTTAAATGAAATAAACAAATTACCTACCCAAAATAAAACATAAATACCGGCCAGCAGCCCCTCGCGGATGACTGCTGGCTTACCAAAATAAAGTATAAAACACAAACAAAAGCAGGCCTGTTCCTCTCTCGATCATCCACTCCGTCACTCCCCCTTTATGCCTCCGCTCCTTCGTGAGAGTTACGAGACTTTCTGTCATGTCCCTCGGCCGTCCTGCTCACCACAGTCATAAAGTTCTGTATGACCTGCAAGAGTTTTCACGGCTGTTTGTGTTAAAAGTTTTCTTTTAAACATGGTACTTTTCTTTTTGTGAAAAGTACAAACATTTAAAATGTTTTGGCACTTGAGCAAGTAATAAATAAATCTGTATACAGCCATGGCCAAAATTATTGACAGTGACACAAATTTAAGTAAAAAATATCTTTATTCGCCAGAAAATGTTATAACTTTTATCACAAAATCCCAAATACCGCTGTTTAAAAAAAGAAAAATTATTATATATTTTTTCCCCTGGCACAAAATGACCAGCTAACGTGTCACACCTCTCTGAGTACAAGCACGAGCAAGAGCGCCTCTGTTTTCAAGAAATGGCTGAGAATGCATATTTTTGTGTCTACCTCCAAAACAAGAAAGACTGTTTAAATGCAGTCTTAGGAAATAGGAAAAGGATCTACTGCCTGTAGTTGATTTTGATATTGATTTTGACAGCACCTGTGTATTTTGAGACCCCAGAGGACATGAAGAACTATAATGCTATAGGGGCTCACTCAAGTAATGAGTAGCTGCAGCATTTAGAGCTTTATAAGTAATCTGCAATATTTTAAAGTGTATACAATATTTAACCCTTGTGCATCCTTAAGGACATTTTTATCTTTACTTTTTTTTTATACATTTAAGCAAAATTGTTTTTTTTTTTATTGGAATTTTATACAAATCTCTTTTCCTTTTATAAATACTGTACTTTACACTAGGTACATAAAAGTTACACATTGGATCTTATGGACAAATATGTCCCCACTAAAATGTCAATTTTGCAGTTATTTGGGTTGTGAGTTGGATTTTAAAAATAGGATTTCATCCTGTTCACTAAATGGCACCATTTTTGGGGTTTGGCCTGCAAAGAAAATATAGGATATAGGAAAATAAAGAATATAAATACAGCTTGTTTCTGCTGTATTTAAAGCCAATTCAATAAATTATGCAGTTATAATTGTGTAGTTATGTTGGTATGTCAGAGTGTGGTTTGTAAGTATGTATTGTTACTTTGAGGCTTTTTATCTAACATCTTTAACCTTATGATTATTCAGGTAGAGTAAGGATAGTCAAATCCAGCTTGAACCATACAGTACTCACCTGCTTGTACTCATCTGTTTGAAGTTATTCAGAAATCCCATAGAAGACTCTATTGTGTTTTTTATGTTTGTTTGTTTGTTTGTTTTTGTGGTGTTTTTTTAGTTTTTTTAGGCTCAGTTTGTAGTTATAAGTCCCACAGGTGGTAATCGTAACCACAACAAAAAAACGTATTGCAATTACCAAAGCAGTTACAGCAAAACAATAAATAAATAAATCAACTAAGATAAGAGCTCTATAATCAAGCACTAAACAGTCTCCCTTTTTTCACCATAAATGTATTCCCACGTGACATGCCACTGCCAAACCATTCTAAATATCAAAAATCTGTTTTCAATTTATCTTCAATGTTTTGGTGTAATGTTGACAAAATTTGGTGACAATCTCATGAATCTCATGAAGTAGGAGTATTTAAGAGTTCACTTGATTCACTTTCAACTAAATCTACAGTAAAATAGCCGACTCCCATTTGGGTGGAGCATGTGACAAAGCACAAAAGATTTTTGGCTAAATAGGAATTATATGTTCAGAGTTTCGTTCATATAATTTCATTGTTTTAGCCCTTGGTTAAGAATTGTTAATGTGTTAATAAAGTGCATAACATTTTAACATTGCATGGAGTTAAATGGGTGAGGTCTATGATTTGCAGGTTTGCAGACCATGGCTGTATGCTGGAGGTGAGAGATGTCAAGTTTTTTCCTGATGGGCGCTCTGTGGTGGACACGATAGGCATTGCACGTTTTAAAGTGCTCAGTCATGGGCAGAGAGATGGATACCACACAGCCAAGATTGAATATTTGGAGGATAAGAAGGTATAGAAATATTTTTGCATTGTACGAGCACAAGAAAGTCCAAATCCAAAAGTTGTATTATGTTTGTGTATGAAAGAGGGAGAAAAAAATCACCTGTCTTCCACTCTGACCTAATATGCATTTTTGTGTTTAGGTTGAAGGAGAGGAGTTGACAGAGCTCCTGAAATTGCATGACTCTGTCTATGATCAGGCCATGGCCTGGTTCACTTCACTTAAAGATGATATGAAGAATCAAATTATCAGCCACTTTGGGCAGCTACCTGCCAAAGACTCTGACCCACAGGTGAATGTTTGCACCAAATCTGTCTCACATTTGATCTAAATGCTTGCAAACTGTCTGTTGTGTAACATACCTGTGTATACACATTTAAATTCCTGTTGTTTGCATTTATAATCTAATACATTCAGTACCTAAGTTTGATTCTGGTCTTGTTTTTCCCAGGGGAACCCCAGTGGTCCTGCATGGTGTTGGTGGCTGTTGGCTGTGCTGCCCCTGGAAAACAAAGCCCAGCTGACCATCCTCGCCATGACCACTCTTAAGGACCGGCTGATTGCCATTCGCAGGGTCCTTATTTTTGTGACTCGCAAGCACCCTCGAAGATGAATGATAATATCGTTATCTAAATTAACCCATAGCTTGGGAATGCTGCTTCAGGCTGGGGTCACTGAGGTGTCTTCCAGCATCCATCTTGGTCTGTCATTGCATTATGCAATCCTCACCAATTAGTGAAATTGTGCAATAAAAAGTCTGTCTTAATATGGTAGTTTAAGCTCATCAATTAGCAATTAGCAGTGGCAAGTTATATTGAAGTGTGGTCACCGAGCTTATCACTGATGGCCTACATTAGGAAGCTCTCATTTAGTTCAGGTGCAATCACATCGTTTTACAGTAGCAACAAACACTAATGAAAACAGTGCAAACTTTTTTCTTAAGCACTTTTTGTTCTTTGAAAATACCACCTCTGTTTTGTGCCTAGATGGTGTGTAAGCTGATTAAATGCTTCCCATAGGCTTGCAAGTATCAATACTGGCCTTATTGTGTAAAAAAAAAAAATTTTGGAAATGATCAGCCACCTTATTTCCATATTGTAAAATATGACAATTAAAGTAAAACTTATTTTGAATTAATATACAGTAGTCAACATTTGAAGTGGTTCAAAACCTTTCATCAAAGTTATAGATGCATTTTGAACAATACCTGCTCTTGTCTTAGGACAACTTTAATTTAAAGGGGTGGTAAAAAACATTTTTTTCAAAGGCTTGATTATGTTTGTGGGGTGCACTGTAACATGTATTCATGCTTCATTTTTAAAAAATGTAATTATTTTTCATATATTTTACCTTTATTTTACATTGCTCTGTCCCTCCTTGTAAAAACGGTCTGGTGGTTTCTGGGTTCTTTGAAGCCAGTTCCTTCAAAATACGCAATGGGCTCAGATTGGTTCGCTGGCCCAGTGTGTATTAATTGGGCCAATAACTATTAATTATTAAAATGAACACTAAACATTGACTTTACTACAGTAGCCAAATCAAACACAGAACCATGTTTAGCGTGCCTGTAGATAAACATATACATAAAAGCTCTAACGTTAATCTAATTCCAAGTTCGCTGTTGAGATTTAAAAAACAAAGTTTGTAACGTTAGGTCACGTCAGATAACGTTAAGTATGAATGAGCATTTAACGAACTGGTTTGCAGAGCCAAACAGCGATGTCATTTGTTTTTACTTCCTTACTACAACGTACAATTAACAATACAAACTATTACAGGAAAACACATCGAAGAAAAATAAATCATACTTACTGTGGTCGTGGCCCATAAACAACAGCTTCTGTTTTTAAAGTTGGAACTGCTCCATCTTTCAGGACAAGCCGTTGTGCGAATCCTGCATTGAACTCGCAAAGATTGTGGAAGCTTTCCTCCGTAAAATGTGCTGCACAGATAGCACACGTGAGATTTGGGTAATAATTATGAGGTTAAAACTGAGTTAAAAATAAAATGTAACCATTGATCCCTAACTCCCCCGTCCCCAGGAAGGCTGAACAAAGTGGACGTGCAATCTGGATGAACAAGAAAATTGCGGCAACAACACTCCAGCCTACTATACCACAACAACTCTTCTCCAAAGCAATATAAAATGGACTCACGCTCTTTATTTAGTATTATCGGAGATGGAGTTTATGTAAATATTGGGGTTAGTTACATCAGCAACCCTGGAGGAATGTCGTGTAGTCCTTATCGGCCGTTTGCTGTAGTTCTTAGAAATTTATTTCTTTAAAAGCAAATAAATGTTGAAACTTTGCAGATGTTGTTTGTTTAAACAGCAACATTACACACTAGCTTTTTTGATCCACTTAAAATGTTGACTACTGTAAAATAAGTTGTATTGTAACATGTTTTCTCTTTTTCTCGTCTTTATTTCTTCTATGCATTTTGATGTCTAGTTAATTAAGAACCATAAATTCAGTCATAAATTGCAATGTTCTGCTGATGTCCATACATTTTTTCCCCATTGGTTTAAAATAGTCTTATGGGTCATACTCTACAAGCTTGGCCTGGCTGTATTCACAGCCTTAATGATATTTAGTAACAACCACAGGTGTGTGTTTTATTTTTCAGGAGTTGAATTGAAACTAGGACATTGCAAATTGGAGTCAAATTGTGGCAAGTCATACTGTCATTTCTAAGTTGGAATAGGCACTCTTGTTTTAATGTGATGTGTAATATACATGAGTGTGATGTGTGGATGGTTGGCTTATGTCTATATAATAATGTATAGACATACATTATATTATATACTATAAATTATAGACTACTGGAGGGCTTTGAACGTTCACATTCTTTTTCTTCTCATTGTTCTTTCTTTGTGATGTGCATGTCTTGTGTTTGTCCTTTATCTACACTTTCCTGTGCAAGTTACTATTTAGATGCTGCATTTTTCATGTAAATTTGTACATCAAAATGAAATAAAACACATTTTATATTTTAAAGCAACAAGTGTTATGTTTCTGTGTGTCTTTTCTAATTGAATTAGTCTACCCAAAAATCACAAATACAGCTCTTACACCTGATTCACAGAGGATGCGCAAACAGAGCGGAAGCCGTGCAGAAGCCGTGCATATTGAGAGAGGGAGCAGCACGCATGCATTGTGCTTTCACACTGGCGGCATTTGTTGTGCACAGCTGAATCGCGATTTGGTCTTGCTGGCATTGTCCATTCACCGAAGACCACTCCCATATTGAATGATTGCAGAAAAAATATATATATTTTGAAAGCAAGATTATTGAACTGATGGAGCAACAGATTTTGATGGAAAATAAATCATAAAAGTGGTTTATTTTGATTAAAAATCTTATAAATGTATGAAGTGGCAAGGTCGGCCAACCCAACACATGGGGTAAAAGGCTCACCAGCATGGGGCAAAAGTCATATTTATACAAAAAAGTGCACTTTAGTGTACTTTCACAAACAATATACTTAAAAAGGAATACACTGAAGTGTGAAGTGTTAAATGCAATTTTTTCGGTGCACTTAATGCATATTGTATGTAGCCTAATTGATTTTAAATGTTTGTAATCAATTATGTAATGTCTCAGGGGGAACCACGCGGTGCGATTTCTTCACCCCGAGATGAGGATGGAATTGGATGTCTATAGCATTGATGTGGGATATATATATATATATATATATATATACGCAGCTAGTTAACAAACAATTTAATATTGTGACAATAGAACATTTTGTTAACAACGAAAATACATACATATAAAATCAACGATGCACAACTAGAATCAATAGTGTTCTTTAACAATGAATGGTTTTCATTTAAAATGAATTATTCAAACAACTCTATAGTTAATGCTTCTTGTTTATTCCTGTAATTTACATAACAAACTTTACTTTACACATGTGGTGTTCAGTGTATCATTATTAGAAACAATACTTTCTACTAGAGTAGTATCATAGTGGTTGCTTTATTAATAATACAACTTGA